GAGTTCACCTCGACACTTCCCAATTTGTTATCTTGAACACCAACCGAGCAAAACGCTACAACTCACATCCATAACTTCTAATACCACCACCATCACGATGGCCACTGGTAAAGTCCACGTTCAATCCTGCGGTCTCTTCTGGTAAGTTCACATATCAACTCGCTGTAAGCAAGCGTCAAGTACCTAAAAAAAAGTTTACAATTTCTTTGGGCTATAGGCTCCTGAGCAACGTCTACTTGGTACACGCCGCACTTGTCGATACCAAGTACCCCACCACCACCGATGCTGTCTTCAACCTCATTATCCGTCGCCCGCGCTTCGCTGGCGGGAATTTGTCAATTCCAATTGATTCCAATGTGAGGCTTGTCAAGTGTTCTCGCAAGGAAGCTCCTTACAACACCATTCGTCTCCGCTACGGCAAAACGCGCAAGTGTGTCGTCATCCGCGCGTCTGACTCTCTGGAGCGCGAGAAGTGGCTTGTCGGGATCATTCAAGCCATGGCAGCAGCCCAGAACCTCGGACTTTCCTCAACGATTCTAGATTCTTCGACCGAGACAGCGTTTGAGACTGCATCATGGCATCAATCCTCACCGATGAAGGAGCCATCCGCGCGAGTTCAACTAGAAGCGAGTCTTACCATGTCGAGCGTCGATACCATCAGCTCATCGGCCGATCGGCTAGACAACTTCATCCCTCTGCTTCAGCATGTTTCGAACACCTCTAGTGTTGTCGCTGATATTGACGTGATCCAACACCGTTCAAGCGTCGATCAAGCTCGATCCAGCAGCATAATCTACGCCCAACGGCGACGCGTACGAGAACATGTAAGCGCTGCTGTGTAGTTCCTCATCAGCTTCGGTCAGTGGCGTTCTGTAAGCTAGCTCCATCAGGAAGAGCCGAAATTGCCCCCAACCTCCAAACACCACGGAGGTCTACCACACTCACTATTGATTTTTCGTAAAGGCTTGCCATATCCTAGCATAACAATGTTGACCATTTCATCGTGTTCTCGACCCATTTTTTTTCCTCGTTCCAACTTTCTGACACTTTAACTTCAGGGATTGTCTGGACGGTATCACGTTCGTTCCCACCACCGAAATGGACTCTTGATTTCAGTGAAATACTGAAAACGATGAGCATTACACCAATTTGAGTCAAGAATTAGTCGCAAGTTGTGGACATCTAGCACCCCATTGGTGGTGATGCCGCATTCCTGTCACAACATATTCGTGGTCTCAATGCTTGCACGTGCACACCAGCATAAAATCTTCATTTTAGAGCCATCCATTTTGCGTACCACAAGAGCTGTCTTGTTCAGTAACAAGAATAAAATCCATGGTGGCCCGGCTCCCGTAAGATCGATACCTGATACCGTCGTCGCTGTATCAATTCTGGTTCATTTAACCAGCTTTGGCTTCGTCACTCCATATTTTGCTTCACACCGACCAAGCAAACTACGCACCAGACTAGTTTCCCACTCAAGCTAGTACTCAACTACCACCACAATGACGTGCGGTAAACTCTACGTTCAATCATACGGCCTCGTTTGGTAAGCTTTCATCGCTTCGTAAGTTCCGGTCAGGATATCTCGCTAACTTTCTGCTGGTGAATTGTTCGAGCAGGTTTTTGAGCACCGTGTTTCTGATCTGCACTCCGCAGACAAAAATCGCTGGCCTTAAACACGCTACCCAGGCGGTCTACATGTACAACCTTGTTATCCAGCGTCCGCGGATCACAGGGGGGGCTCTAAGGATTCCTCTTGACTCAACCGTCAAGTTTGTGAAAAACTTGAGCAGCGACATCGAGCGCAACATTATACGTCTAACTCACGGTCCAAACAGCAAGACTCTTGTCCTGCGGGCCTCAAGCCCACAAGAACTACAGCAGTGGCTAGCCGCAATCACAGCAGCACTGTCCACATACGCAACCAACCAAAGCGCTGTAAAAGCGCCTGCCAAGATGCGGATGACCACGATACCTAAGATTCCAACAACCAGTGTGCCACCGTTTGCCGTGTCGAAGCAACACACTTCGACGCTTCCACAAAACCCCACCGTCATTTGCTCGGCTCCAATAGCTTGTTCTCTTCGGCGAGTGGTTCGACAAAACATCCCAGCTGCCATGCAGCTCTTCATTTCGGTCGGCCAGATCATCGCGTCTGCTGGATAAAGTCCCCAATGCAACCAACACTTCTGTAGTCACAGACGTTGAATTTCAATCCACCTTTACGGATACTAAAAACCATCTCGCTAAGAGATAGATAGCATCATCAATTTCCATTTACACAGGATCGAAAACTGCAATTCCAGTCGTTGCTGATACAAAGAAGTCCTAAAAAAAATAACCCGGCTATACATGTATCAGCGACGCTTGCATTTTCGGTGCCAGGAATCTCCGTACAACGACCACCTCTAACTCAATTTAGCGAACCAACATTCCACGTCCCACTGGCCACGTGTTCAGGTACGTCACGAGTGGCACATGATTATGCATAGTTAAAGATCTCATTAAAGACGACGAGCTTCTCTGGCTGATACCATGCGCTTCCAGACGTCATTTCTCGTCCTAGTCTCGCTATTCATCGCCCCGTTGGGGGCGCTATCCCCGCCCGATGGGTCCAACGTGCCGTTCACGCTTCGATACGTCCCGGGCTTCTTCAAGCAAGGCACTCCGTCCGTGGATGTTCCACCGTCAAACCCGGAACATCTCGGACTTCTCGACAACGTCACGTGGACGGATGTAGACGCCTACATTACTGCACGGACCGCTCAAGGCGTAGAAGTCAAGTTGTTCCTCTTCTTACGTCATGGAGAGGGTATCCATAACGTTGCGGAGGCCACATACGGCACTGAAGCCTGGGACAGATATTACAGTAAACTGGCCAAGTATACAGACGCCAAATTGACGAAACTGGGGATGCAACAGGTTGACAAAGCGTCGGAAAGGATCGACGAGGAACTTAAGAGAGGACTGAGACTGGAGGAGGTCGTGGTATCCCCGTTGGAGCGCACACTGCGCACGGCAATGATCGCCTACCAGAATCACCCCGAGATCCCGAAACGATCGATGGAGTGGCCTCGTGAGACCATTGGCGTCTGTACGTGCGACTTACGCGGCACTATCTCGTCCAAGGCGGAACAGTATCCAAGCATCGACTTCAGCGACATCTGGAGTGATGCAGACCCGTGGTGGACGCCTGATCATCGCGAGACCGAGCTGCACATCAACGACCGCGCGCGCATCTTCCTGAACCGCGTCTTCTACGGCCACAGGGCGACGCATATCGGCGTGGTGACGCACAGTGGACTGGCCACAGCCGCAATGCGTGTCATCGGTCATCGTAAATACAGCGTCGCGACTGCTGAAGTGATCCCATTCTTGCTCGAAGACACGATGGTGCACTCGATCCCCTCCATCTTCTCTGGTAATTACGGCATGTAGACATCGGTAACAGAGTCACTTGTTGGTAAAGGAAACTTATAATACTTTGTTAAGATGGAACGAAGGTATGTCGAACTGAGATAATTAACCTATCTCGAATCTACGCATTAGTTGGTCACGCGACATGACTCACGCCGAAATTGTCGACGGTTAATAGGCTGTCTCTGACGGAGCTAGCTTGTAGAACACCACTGACCGAAGCTGATGAGGAACTACACAGCAGCGCTTACATGTTCTCGTACGCGTCGCCGTTGGGCGTAGATTATGCTGCTGGATCGAGCTTGATCGACGCTTGAACGGTGTTGGATCACGTCAATATCAGCGACAACACTAGAGGTGTTCGACACACGCTGAAGCAGAGGGATGAAGTTGTCTAGCCGATCGGCCGATGAGCTGATGGTATCGACGCTCGACATGGTAAGACTCGCTTCTAGTTGAACTCGCGCGGATGGCTCCTTCATCGGTGAGGATTGATGCCATGATGCAGTCTCAAACGCTGTCTCGGTCGAAGAATCTAGAATCGTTGAGGAAAGTCCGAGGTTCTGGGCTGCTGCCATGGCTTGAATGATCCCGACAAGCCACTTCTCGCGCTCCAGAGAGTCAGACGCGCGGATGACGACACACTTGCGCGTTTTGCCGTAGCGGAGACGAATGGTGTTGTAAGGAGCTTCCTTGCGAGAACACTTGACAAGCCTCACATTGGAATCAATTGGAATTGACAAATTCCCGCCAGCGAAGCGCGGGCGACGGATAATGAGGTTGAAGACAGCATCGGTGGTGGTGGGGTACTTGGTATCGACAAGTGCGGCGTGTACCAAGTAGACGTTGCTCAGGAGCCTATAGCCCAAAGAAATTGTAAACTTTTTTTTAGGTACTTGACGCTTGCTTACAGCGAGTTGATATGTGAACTTACCAGAAGAGACCGCAGGATTGAACGTGGACTTTACCAGTGGCCATCGTGATGGTGGTGGTATTAGAAGTTATGGATGTGAGTTGTAGCGTTTTGCTCGGTTGGTGTTCAAGATAACAAATTGGGAAGTGTCGAGGTGAACTCAATACGTCGAGAATGGTCGGGTAGCGGTAAGTGCCTCGCCTGGTTTCGTCCACGAGTGTGCAGACCGGCACGGTCAAAGATCGACGAAATCAAGTTCAGCGAGTTTGAGTTGACAGTCTGCCCAGTAACCAGCCATTG